TTCACCCTGAGTCAGCTGGGATAGACTCCAGCGACGCTAGTGAGGATTAAGCGGTGTATAGATGATGGATGGATGGATGGATGGACAACAGTGCCAGCCCAAGCCTCCAAGGGGCCTTAAGCAATGTTTGTGGCCCTCCACTAATGACGATAACACTGATCAATGATCATTCACACATCTACTATAAACTTACTTCATTTTGTAATTTGTTATAACGAATACACTCGTAAAACTTGATGTGAGACTTCTTGTTGTTAGATTGTATTCCACAGTGATAAAGATCATTGAAGCAGATTTGCAAACTAGCAGAAAAAGCTTACTATTAATATTTGGCAAAAGTCAGCAGCTCTCCCTGCTGGTCGCACAGAGAAGCAACATATAAAACCTCAAAGAGCTGCACAGTAGCAGCAGTGCTGTTTACAGCATCCTTGCATCTACCAGGTATGTTTTCACCCATCTACAGTTTATAAGCTGAAATGGTCGTAAATTCACCTACAAGTGTGACCTGGGATTGATTTACACTTAACCCATTTATGCCCCAATTTTTTTCAGAGTTGTAAGGCATATAATTTTATCAGTTAAGTCCCTCTGAATCATGCTATGTATTTATTTTTTCCATTTTGTACTTTCATTTGAAGAAAATGGCATTTTTATGACAATTGTTGCCAGTAATCACTTAGCTTGTCACTAGGTCAAATGTCACCTAATAGTAATATAGAAACAATAGTGATAATATAGTAATAACAAAATAGTAATATAGTCATAATAAATAATAAAAAGGTGCAAACGGGGTGGTGGTATAAAACAAAGAAAAATATGTAAAACTGTACATGGATACCAATGGATATTGTCATCCCAGGAAGGTAGCTAATGATCGTGGTTCAAACCTTGGTTCCACCTGTATAAAATTCAAAACAACAAACAATTTGAACTGGTTTCTTTGTACATAAATAACCTTTGTATCAGATATACATCTCAGACCAAGTCTGTATGATATAAAAACAATCTCCAACAGGTTAAAACATAACAACCAGAGGTTTCGAACATTGAATTCACGCTGCCAATCGAGAAACCGCCAAACTAGCGTGGAAACAAATTGGTGGAAATAAAATCATATGTTGTTGCTGATTTTGCAAATGAAACAGAGCAGAAATAATAATTTCTATGTCACAGAAATGCAATGCATGTGAAACAGATAACCTACATATTCTCAAATACCCATATACTCCTGAAAATTGCTTACATACATAGCATACCAGAGGGAAAAGGGGGATTTGTGGGGGGTAGAGGTGGTGGTGGTGGGAGTGTAGGTGTGGGCATTGGCTATGGTAAGTGCTTGTGTGTCAAGAAAAGTGCACCTCCAACTGCACATCAAAATTTTTTACCTCATTGAAACACAAGCTAATGTTAGCTGACAGAGAAAAATCGCTTAGCAGCTAGCAAGAAAATGATGTATGGTAACATATCTAAATCCTATAGACACAGACCTTGAATACCTGTAAATTTATTTAGCTAAGAAGAGTATTCGAAGAGGACTAAAATGAACCATTGTACATCATTCTACCATTTAAAATAAGTAAATTATGAGCAATCCTGCAGACAGTGTTTTCCTTTAGTTAACGACAAGCTATGTGCCCACTGGCAACTTTTGTTGCCACTCACAGAAATAAGGCCATGAACAAAAAAATATTTATCCCAGGTACAATTTTTGGGGGGAGGGTTACTCTAGAGACTTGAATGATTAAATAATTATAAATATGTTTGGGGGGAAAATCATAAGAAATTTATGAAAATTACCTCTCTCCGGGAGGATTTGCATTCGCCATGCCTTCAGCCGGAAGGAGCAGGAAGCAGATGATGTCATGTGACAGGAAGCACTTGGAAACTATTTTTTATAAACCAAAACCTTTGTCTAAGGTGTCTACTAGCATATAAGTGGAAAAAGTTGCTTCAGTAGCTTTGCGATTTTTTATTGTGAGTTGAAAATGACATTGATACACTTTGGCAACAATTGTTGCCAGTGGGGCAAAATAGGTTAATATTTAAAGTGTCTTATTTAACTGAGATATTGAATGTCATAGACACACTAAAAGTAACAAAATAAACCAAAAGTCATCCATCTTAGATGTCATATTACCCTTGAAATTACAAAGTCTGTTTTGTTGTTTACTTACCAGGTAAATCAGCTGAGGTTATAGCAGGAACAGGGACAGAAGATACAGTGGGTGGGGGTGAGAGACAGAGCTCTTTAGAAGATGCAAGACATAACAACAACAATTGTTAGCCATGTTAGATGTCATATGAGACATTAAATATGAAAACTCTTACTCCAGTGTGTTTTTCCTTGCGAATGTATTCACGATATACATTTATCTAAAAACAAGTCTCTTGTCATGTGATTATGTATTATAATAAATCTTAATGACATAAATGACTATGCTCTGCAGCAAGCAATTATTGTAAACAGCAAATCTCAATATATAATTTATACCTGTCCTTCTCGAATAGTAGGTGCGATGCCAGGGGGGGCTCGTCTGACCCCGGTGCAGTGTTAATTTTGTCAACGAAAACTTAAACGAAAGCTTTTCCTTGATGACCCTTTTTTCCGTGACTACTTTGTGACGAGAATGTAAATTAAAGAAGTACTGACTTTTCTCGATAATGGATGGATGGATGGATGTCCATCAGAGCTGGCCCGAGGCATAAGTGAACTAAGTGTCTGCTTAGGGCCCCGGTCACCAGTAGGGGGCCCCCCAAGAGCATCCATCCCATAGACTGTATAAAAGATGGACATAGCAACCGGCCCTGAAAAATGAAGCCAACCCGGAAGTGTCAAAAACCTGCGTCCGCGAGCTGCTGGCTCCAAAAAGCCCTGGCTCCCATAGACTTAAATTGGAAAAGAAGTGATCACAGATCACGAAATACTGCATTCCTACAGCTCAGGATTTTTTTCTTACGAGTTTTCATAGTCAAATCCAGAGATCAGGTGGCCAATCTGTAAATAAATCAATGCTGAATTTTTAAAAAATCGTCAAAATTTTGCAGGACAAGGGGGGTGGCTGGCTTAATTTACAGTCGGCAGCGACCATACAGACAAAGCAAGCAGAAGGCAGTAAAGAGGACCTGCCTCTCAATCCGTCTGACCAATCGCTGCTCCTATGGCTCCGCCCCCCTCCGACGATTTTTGTGTCACTGGCTCCAAAAATCCAAGATGTCAACCAGGAAGTAGCAAAACCCTGGCTTCATTTTCTCAGTGCAGAAACCAACGGCTGACGTCACGGTA